TCTCTCTCTCTCTCTCTCTCTCTCTCTCTCTCTCTCTCTCACACACACACACACACACACACACACACACACACACACACACACACACACACTGCAACCCTGGGGGCCCAGGCTATAAGTGGGCCTCAGGGAAGTTCAGGGAAGTGATTGTTTGGGTGAAACTCCCCAGGGATCTGGTCCAGAGCTGGTGAGACAAGATAGTCATGAAGATTTTTTTTAAGTCATCCTTTCTCCCAAGCCTGATGTTTCCTTTCCCTGGGTCCACCCTGGCCCCACGTCACTCCTCCGCAATCTGCCCTCTCTGAACTGGCTCAGCTCCCCGTTGTCGCTCTCCTGGCCATGCCCCATTTTCCACCTCAAGACAGAATGATTCATGTACTCCCTTCCCGATAGCCCGAACAGTCCAGGCTGCCTCAAGCCGTCACAAGGCTGGCACTGGCGGCGGGAGCTCGGAGACTGGACAATGTGCCCGCTTAGCTTCAGCCAAGTAGGATGGGACGGAGAAAAGTAACTCCATGATGCGTCTCACTGCATGCAGTACATTAATTCTGCTTCTTAAATGGGTCACTGGAGGCTGGGGATGTAGCTCAGTGGTACGGGGTTCGCTCAGCAGGCCCTGGGTTCCATCCTCAGTACTACGGAAGTGTAGCCACAAGGGAGGAAGGGAGCGGGGGAGAGAGGGGGCCTGAGAAGGAGGGAGGAGAGGGAAGGCCAGTCACAAAGTGTATATCCACACCCAGCCCTGGCCCGGATGGAACCAAGTCGTCCTCATCCACACAGCTTATTCTTTTTCATTGTCTGTGTCCAAACTCCACGGAAGGGGCTGGCTGCTATTGACCATTGACCATGTCCTTTAGGCTTCCTGGCCCTCTAGGGACCACTGGGGGGTGCCAATGGGAAATGCCAAAGGAGATGGGAGTGTCCCAGCAAGACACACTCTTGTTTCCCTACTCTCTCTCCATGCTCTGGGGGTTCACCACCAATGGCTGTGTGTGTCCACCCTGCCTCCACCCTGTCCCATTGTAACTGCTGTCTGTCCGTCCTTGTCCACCATTTGGGCTCTTCCTGCTTCCAGAAACACCATTCTTGCCTGGTTGGTCTCCTTAGCCCTGTCCCTGACTCGGCAGTAGCTCCTTTTCTACACAGTCCCTTGAACCGTCTGAGGTAGGTTTCCTGCTGGGCTCTAGTACATAATTAATTTTTAAAATTATTGTTGAGTTATGAGAGAGGGGAGGAGGGAGAGAAAACGTCAGAGGATGTCAGCTCTCCTTCCTCCTTCACACAGGTGCTGGGCATTGAGCTCAGGTCCTGACCCTTGCACTTTTACCCCCCCCCCACCATAGCAACCCCAAATACACAATTTTTAAAAAAAATTATTTATTTATTTTTACTTTATATAAATCGGTGTTTTGCCTGCAAGTATGTCTGTATGTGGTAATCAGATCCCCTGGAACAGGAGTTACAGACAGCTGTGAGCTGTCATCTTGGTGCTGGGAGTTGAACCCGGGTCCTCTGGAAGAGCAGCCAGTGCTCTTAACCACTGAACCATCTCTCCAGCCCCCAAATGCATAATTCTTGACAGGGATGTAGCACTTGGAGATGCTAGAGGCTGGAGGAGCTAAAAAATAGCCCTGTCCACTTCCTCCATGGGCTGAAAGGAATTTTCCAGAGCCTACCTAAAACAAAATAGATGCTTCAGATGGATAGACAGATAGATGATAGATACAGAGAGAGAGAGAGAGAGAGAGAGAGAGAGAGAGAGAGAGAGAGAGGGAGG